AACGAGTGTGCAATATTTGCTATTGTGTTTGTAGAAGATGATGATGAAGATGATGAGGACGAATGCAATCGATTTTGTTGCTGTTGAGGTTGTGTCATATCTTGCCGATTTAGTAAGCGTTGTTTAATTGTACCAGTGTTTTCGTTAGCAAAAGGAATGGTATCAATGGAATCAATACTTGAGTTTGACTAGAAAGAAAATAAATATTTAAAGAATGCCATAAAAAAAATTTAGGAATACACATTTAATAATACCTTATTGTCATGGAATTTTTCACAGTGGATTTCTGCTGTTGTTTGCTGTATTGTAGCATAATTAGCATAGATAGGTTGTGTTGTTTGCAATTGTTGTTGCATATAAGCCGGACTTGCATGATGATGTGATGTCATAGCAGTGCCATCATTAGCACCATAATACATATTTTGTGCGACTGCATGTAAAGATTGTTGCGCTTGTTGTGGCAATTGTGTTACATCTGAACTTAGAGTTCTAGAATTTCGTATACTGCAATGACGTCGCGGTGGCTCTGGTGCAATTTTCTTACTTGTTAATGGGCTTCCAGTTATATAAGGCTGCAATATATATTAAAGAGTTAAAAGCTATTTTAATTAAATATATAAAATATTTACCTTATTTATGTTGGAGTTATCTATTATGCCGCCTGCCACATTCATATTGCCACCTCCAAGTGAAACCGGGCCACCAATACCCGCTGCATGACAAACGTATTCAGCAGCGGCCGCATTCATATAGTGATGATGTTCTAAAGGTGGCATGCTATTTAGAACAGCACGCTGCAATATACCACGCTGTTGACGAGGTAACGTACCTCCACCTTCTTCATACACTAAATCACGTGTGGCATCGTTCGTTGGAGTTATATCCCCATCATCATATGAACGGCGCCAAGACTAAAAATGTTAATATATGTCAAGTGAATATATAGTTGCTAAAATATATAAATAAATGTATACTTTATGTATGAATTATAAATAATTTGAACTTAATTTTTAAAAATTAAAAAATCAAGCATGTTAATAAAATTAACCAGATAAAGGAACTTAAGATTTATTATAAATAATAAAATAATGATGTCTGAAATTAAGCATGAAATTGAGTAATCAAGTGATTAAGAAAATTTTAAGCAGCTTATGAAATCAGTGACAATCATAATAAATTAATAGGGGTAGGGGTATTCATGCTTTGGGGTAATTGAGTTTAAAAAATCCATTAAATATTTATTGCAAAGCGAAAATCTGTTTGTAAATGTATCTTTTCAAATCATAAATGATTATTGCAATAAAATTAAAGTCTAAAAAAAAGGATACCAATGTTCTTTGTGTGATTTTAATATTATATTTTAGTTTTGTACTTATAAATTTTACTGTAACAACTAAGGATTAGGGATTAGATAGGGATAGGGATGAGAATATTCTTGATGTAAGGCATGTCTGCCGAAAAAGGCGATTAAAATTAGTTAAGCATCACCTACTTTACAGTTTTGAAGTATAAGTAGTAGCATGAATTTTATCTCGCGACTACTCACTAGAGGTGAAATCTAGTACCTCGAGATCGCTTCTTAACAAGAAGGAAGTTATATATAAACATAACAGGAAAACAGGTGAAATTTTTTTTCGCGAAAAATTAATCGGACATTATTTGAATATGCGTGTTTAGACCATCATAGATTTAAGCTCTCATGGCAAGCAACTATAGAAAATAATTACAAACTGTACATAATTTAATACATTAAATAGTTAAATCTAGTATAGGGTTCGGTTGTGGTAAATATGTAATTTCACGTTAAATGTAATTTGTTTTGGTAGACGTGGAGAATGTGAAACATTTTTGGAATTTATACACCCCACATACATTCATTTCAATTATAACAATGCGTGGATAACCTTAATAAGAGAAAAATTGCTAGAGAAGTGGTTTTCCTAAAACTGTTTTAAAGAATATGTGTGCTGTGAAAATGGATTTTATATGTACCATATCTGTAACAATGTTTATATGTAAATGTATTTATTCAAAACTTAAGAATTTAAACAAAAAATAAAAACAAAAGTAATTTGTTATTACCATAGCTGCTGCGGTATTAAGCATTCGATTGCCGCATAAAGGTGGAACTTGTTGCTGTTGTTGTTGCATAGCTTGTTGATGTGGATGCATTTGTGAGGGATGTCCAAAATGTCCATAGTCAGTTGCGGTATAATGACTGAAGGTAAGATGACTGCGTGTGCTATTGTCATGCAAGTCCTCCAATGATTCTAAGCTTTTACCTCTCGGCTGACGAACCTATAGTAAAATATTTTAACATTATTTTATTGCAAAATATATTTAATTTAAAAATGATAAATAATACTATAATAAATAGGTCTATATTCAATGGATTTTAATCTCACCTTGATTAAAACTACATCATTACCATTAGGGCATTCATGATTACTACCAGTGCAATAATAAGCATTATCATTAGTGGCATACAGTCTAGAATCGTCCCAAGAAACACGAGTTGTAGGAATGTATGTGGGAGAGGCTGCCTCTAAAGAGTCTTGCCAAATTTTACGATATTCCTATTTTCATCATTTATTTATTTCAAAAATCAAAAAAAATTAAATTAAATATAATAAAAAAAATTAAATATAATAAAAAAAAAATTAAATATAATCAAAATTAAATATAAGGTGAATAAAAAAAATATATGAATTTAATTAAAATTAATAATTAAAATCAAATATACATAACATAAATAAAATTTAGATTTCCCTCTTATTGATTTAGTATTTTACTTGATGAAATTTACTCTAATACATCTGTTTCAGGTCCGAATTACTTTACACGATTAATTTTTTTTATAGTTTTCTGAGATCTGCGATATTAGTTTCAGATACTTTTAAGAATAACGGTTTTCCAAATATTATAGGAAATAAAATAATATTATAATATAAATATTATAATTATAATATAAATATATTTTAATTAAATAATAAAAATTTGAAATAAATGTGTTTGAAGAATAAAATAAAAAGTGCTTAAAAACAAACAGCTTTATTTTTAACAACTGTTGTATCGGTAGATTGTAAGTAATCAATTTTTATGGGAGGGATAATACTTATGACACATTTCTAGAAACAAATATTGCTAGTCTCTAGCATAATTATTGTGTTTAGCAGAAATTCAACCTAATGATCACTAACAATAACTACAACTTCTTCTTCATCGTAAGAGTATTGAACTAATTAGATGTTTAATACATATTTGTTATTAATCGCCACTGTTTCTGAAAAAATATATTAAAATAGATAAAACTTACATGTTGTTGATAAGAGTTTGATCCACCGGGATTCCATTTTCCACTTATTATGTCTTTTACACGTTTAATTGCAAGTAAAATTTTCTTTTGATGTCCCAGTTTAACAATGCCAATATCTTCTAAATCTTCCCAGGTGACCTGTGTCACTTCACGTACCGTTTTATAACTTTGGTCCAATAGTGGTTGTATATATTCTTCAAGACGTAATAATTGTAGCCATTCTTCAATTGAACCCTATTAATTTATGAATTAATTTAAAGTTAACATTTAAAATTTGTTTTATACAGTATAATAATATTATTATTATTAAAACTATCGCTAAATTTAAAATATGGTTTATATATTCAAGGTGTATTATAGTACTAACAAGTATATTTCTAGCTAGCATATGCATTATAAAAAAGTGATAAAAATGTTGGTGTTATGCTGGGTTTTATAATAATTAGATATAAACAGATGGAAGATAAAATCAGTGCCTTGTACTGCAATGGCACTGTTGGGTCCAATAGAATACTATTTTCTCACATAAACGTGACGTTTATTTTAAAAATTGGTGTTATTGTAAAGAAGAATATTGTCTGTTTGCGCAAAGTAAAATAAGTAGATATATAAATTAAGGAAGATGACTTTAAAAATCATTTCTAACAACATGGGAGTGATTTTACTATAGCCAATACATTATAGTTTTTTTTATATTGAAGCATAGCCAAGACTGTAAATATAATATTATTTAATAATATAATACAATTTAATATTTAATAAAAAATAACTAAACAATACTATAAAGTCTTCAATAAAATAATGCTAAGGCAACGTATTCAAAATGTTAGTAAATTAATCGCTATGCATTAGACAGAAATCCCTAATGGCACTGAAAAAAGGATTGTCTCAAAATTATTTGTAAACGAATTTTGAAAGTAAAACTTAATAATAATGGAAAATCGCTTAATCCAGAAATAAAATTGAAACTTTTAACAATCAACAAAAGGAAATAGAAAGACATAAGCTGCAATAAGTTTGAAAATTTCATAAACCCGGTTCAGGTTTTTTAAAAAGTATATCTTCTTAAAACTCGTAGTAAAGTCCTAATCTTGAGACAAAACGAAACGAACTACTACAGTCCAGGAAAATAACAAGTGAATGAATACACGATTTGGGAAGTAAGAAGAAGAAGGTTTGTAGAGACAAAGGATGACGGCATCAGTGGGTCTTAATTGAAAGCTCTTTGAGTCGAGATAGAGGAATGACGAGCCAAAGATCAATATGAAAATAAGAAGGATACATAATGGGGAATAGAGTTGATGGTCCCAAACACATATTTGAAAGAGGTTACCTATTGTGTTGTCATCTATTATGTTCTATACGTATGAATAAAACTAAAATCACAATCAAATCAAACCAAACCCAACAATTTTATATCAATTTCCGTTCATATGTATATAATTAAGTATATCAAAAACATATGAAACAAATAAATAATGCTAATTTATTTTAAGATTATGTAAGTTCAAAAAAACCTTTACTGTTGAGGATTTTCAAGTATGCAGTCTCAATGAATAATTTTAGAGTGATTAAAATACTTGAGGCTATGAAGATGATGAATTCATAAAAAACTGGTTTTCAAATATTTTATGCAAATGAAAAATATTTGCGGCTTGGCAAATAAGATATTATTTTTATGCGACACTTTCCGCTTTTGGTTTTTTCTAAGCTAAACTATTGCCATGTCTTAACGTTATGTTATGTACATAACTATAATCTCTGTTTCAAATTGAGTCTATAATCTATATGGCAGACAAAGATCTGTTTGAAGTAAGTAAACACTTGCATAAACAAAACGGAATTTGCAAAAATAACAAAATGACATCATTGTTATTCTTTTTAAAAAGATACAAATGAATGTACTATAAATTTATTAACGTTTATAAGAAAACTGTATGAACACAAAAATATATATTACTCATAAAAAGCCCATAAAATTGGAGAACACAAGATATTAAAACACTGTTAATAGATATAAAATCTCAATATTTACATTGAACTTTAAGAATAAAGCAAATATGTACTTCTTACTTCTTTGTTTAGTTTTCATTGTAGTTATTTTCAGTAAATAAACAAATTGAAGGAGAAAAAAATAAAATGTTTTTGCGAATATATCATCATAAGGTAGATAAAGCGATTCGAGTCTTTACTTAACATACTTCTATATAAGAGAACATAAAAGATATTGAACTAAAATTGAAAGAAGTCTTCTTATATCAATCTTGCTTTTTATATTTACTGATATCTAATAAATTCTTTAAAATCTTATATGTTCTTTATAAATGCTTCCATATACATTACATACTTCATATATTATCGCACACTCAATATATACTTATACCTACTTTTTCAATTAATGAATAATTATGAAAATAATAAATTAATTATTCATTTCTATACAAATTCAATAAAAAACTATATTAATTAATATTTATGAACTACAAATATTTGTTATCATTGTTTATCATAAAAAAAAACTTGTTTAAATAAAAACTATAACTTACTGGTACAAAATGTGGCAAATTATCTAAAACTTGTAGTTTATCGATACGTTGTTTAATACGTTCACGATGATGTGGATTTTTTATACCAATGGCAGTTAAGTCCTCAGGTGTCATACGTGCAATTGTCGGTAAGTCATAACCAGCTGCAATAAATAATTGTGCATACTCTTCATATTTCATTTCCATAAGCCAATCAATTATAAGCTCATCACTGCGTTGACGATCTACACTTCCGATAGAACACGAACTAACTGAACTGCATCGTGGCGAGGAAAGTGGACCACCACCACCGCGTATAGATGTTCCAGAAACGCCAGTGAGATAAGAAGAAGCTCGCCCCGAATCCAAACTAGCTGTGGAATGTCTAGACCCAGAACCAGCTGAACCTGATGACGAGCCAGGTGAATCACGTCCAGGTGATTGTGTTAAATCAATACCCTGATCTTCTTGCAGTGCTAGCTGCTGATGATAATAAACAGCTGCTTTATGCGTTAATGGTTCACGTAATGTTGCACAAAATACAGGTGCAGGACATGGCACTATATTGGAAGTACAACCGCTTA